CCAGAATGCAAAGAGAGACAAAGACACACCGGCTGCAGCTGGTGGCCTGGTTGGGTCAAGCCTAGGCGCAATCGGCGGCCTGTTCAGGAATGTGGTTGGCGGCAAGACACTGACCAAGGAAGATCTCGGCAAGCCTCTTAAGGGCATGGAAGAGCATTTGCTGCGCAAGAACGTTGCGCGCGAAGCTGCAGTACGGCTGTGCGAAAGTGTGGAGCGTGATCTCGTGGGCATCAAAACGCCCAGCTTTACTAGTCAGTCATTTCCACACCCTTTTCTTGCTTGGCCCCTTTACTAACGCGACCATGACAGCCATCGAGACAACGATCAAGTCGTCAATGGAGAAAGCCCTTACCAAGATACTTACCCCGACTTCTTCCCTTGACCTGCTTCGCGAGATCCAGCATACAAATTCTACCACCACTCGCCCTTACGTACTATCCATTGTTGGCGTCAACGGAGTTGGGAAGTCGACGAACCTCTCCAAGATTGCCTTTTTCCTGCTGCAAAATCATCATCGTGTGCTCATCGCAGCAGCGGATACCTTCCGTTCTGGTGCGGTGGAGCAACTACGGGTACACGTCGATCGACTGAAGGAGCTATCCCAAAGAGAAGGCGGGCACGTCGATCTGTTTGAAAAGGGTTACGGCAAGGATGCCGCTAACATTGCTGCCGATGCCGTAACTTTTGCGACCAAGAACAACTTCAACGTGGTCCTCATTGATACGGCAGGTCGGCGCCACAATGATCAGCGACTCATGTCGTCTCTCGAGAAATTTGGCAAGCTAGCCAACCCTGACAAGATCCTCATGGTCGGCGAAGCCCTCGTCGGCACTGATTCCGTTGCTCAAGCCCGGAACTTCAATGCCTCTTTTGGTCCAGGACGAAATCTCGATGGCTTTGTTATTTCAAAGTGCGACACTGTGGGAGATATGGTAGGAACGCTTGTGTCGATGGTGCATGCAACCGGTATTCCAGTCGTCTTCTTGGGCACGGGGCAGCATTACAGCGATCTAAGGACATTGAACGTCGGCGCGGTGACGAGGCTACTTATGAGTTAAGGTAATGATTGGTCAGTTCGTGATATAGCACGGCTATGTAGTGTATAGTATTGGGCTGGATTATGTCATGATTGTACAAGCACGTGTTGTTGCTTGATTATTTTTTCCATTTGCTTCAATCAAACTTTGCTTTGTGATTGCGTCATGTCCTTCTGAGCAGATATGAACTACACACAAATAAAATTCTTGGGGAAAAGGGTCACAACTCATACTGTTATTGGCAAAAGCAACCGTATTCATGGCAGACATGTGAATGACGACATGGACGCGCCAAATTAGCTCCCGCATCTCATCACTATGTGCCTCGTATCCACAAGCTTGCTAAGTGCCACACTGCCGTCTTGGATCGACATAACTGCATGCTCTAGCCTATCCCATACCGCCTCTCACTCTCATCGCTCGATACTCCGCGCTCATCCCTTTTATTTCTGCTTCACATGTTGTACGAGGCTTGGATCACCACAAAGCCACTAATCGAAAGTGCCGTGCCGGACAATGCACTATGACATTGGATCCTTTATGGAAAACCCTTCCAAAACATGGCTGCTATGATGCAATTTCCATTGTTCAACGTCGCTGCATATGCGCCAAATACATAGGACGCTGCTTGACCTCACAAATCAGGACACTATAGACATTGTTCCCGCATTGCGGCCTCTTCCTCTTCCCCACAGTCACTATGTCGGAGCAACAAGGTAGCCATCGCGGTGGTGGATCTTCACTATCTGCTCTTGTTTCAACTCTTGTGCCCAGTTTTATTGTCGCTGTTGCTCTGGTTGTCCTATTTTTGGTATTGCGTAACAAGCAGAGGCGTCTCTATGCTCCACGAACATATCACGATGCACTTCTAGAAGAGTACACCTTTCCCACATAACTAACACTGATACTTGCTGATGACCTTCTGCAGTGAGAAAACACCTCCGGCAGGCCAGGGTTTCCTAGGCTGGGTCAAAAAATTCACTAGCTTGAGTGACGAATACGTACTCAATCACCACTCTCTCGATGCATATCTCTACATGCGCTTCTTAAAGGTGCTCAGCCTGATGGCCTTTGTAGGTGCCATTATCACCTGGCCTGTTCTCTTCCCTGTCAACGCCACAGGTGGAGGCGGCGAATCTGGTCTAGACATTCTCAGCTTTTCCAACATCGAGAATGAAGTGCGCTACTTTGCCCACGCATTAATTGCTTGGGTTTTCTTCGGCTGGGTCTTATTCCTCATTTACAGAGAAATGCTGTACTTTGTCAAACTCCGAAAAGCCTACTGCTTGACCACATGGAATGCGAGTCGCATCTCCCAGCGTACAGTCCTTTTTACCGATGTACCGCAAGAGTCTCTTTCTCTCGAAGAACTTCATACCATGTTTCCCAAAATCGCTCAAATCTGGCTTGTTCCCGATGTGAATGACCTAGACGATGATGTCTCAGACCTCGACAAGGCTGTCATTAAACTTGAGGCCGGCGAAACAAAGTTCATGCAAAAGGTCACGAAACAGCAACAGAAGAAGGGCGGTGAGAAAGGCACACACGACAAGGCATTACGCCCAACACACAAGACCAAGTTTCTGATTGGTAAAAAGGTGGACTCAATTGACTACTTTCGCGACCAGATCAAGGAACTACTCCCCAAGATCCAGACAGCACAGCGCTCGCATCTCGCTGGGAACGAAAAGCTCGACAGCGCAGTATTCATCGAATTTGAGACTATACTTGCAGCTGAGATCGCCTTCAATGCAAACCAACATCGCAGGCCCACCAAGTTTAGCTCTAGACAGATGGGTGTCCTGCCGGAGGAAGTCATCTGGAAGAATCTCAACATGGGCTCCAAAAGCAGATCTCTGCGTCACCTCATCGCCACGATCTTCATTTCAGTCATGATTCTCTTCTGGTCTATCCCCGTTGCTGTAGTTGGCTCCATCAGCAATATCAACTACCTCACAGAGAATGTGCCGTTTTTGTCATTTATCAACAGCATTCCCCCTGTTATCCTCGGAGTCGTAACCGGACTCTTGCCAGTCGTTGCCCTCGCTATTCTCATGGCTTTGGTCCCCATCATCTGTCGCGGTATGTTATCAAGATTGATCTCCCTACACCTCTTCCGACTAACGTTTTGATAGTCGTTGCCAAGTTGGCCGGGGCAGTCACAATCTCCCAGGTCGAGCAACAAACACAGACATGGTACTTTGCCTTTCAAGTTATCCAAGTTTTTCTCATTACAACCTTCACTTCAGCCGCCGCGGCCGTAGCCAGCCAGATCGTCTCAGACCCCACAAGTGCCGTCGGCCTGCTATCCAAGAACCTACCAAAGGCCTCTAACTTTTACATTTCATACTTCATTCTCTTCGGTCTGGCCATATCGTCGAAATTACTCTTCAATATCGGAGGCTTGGTGGGTGTTTTTATTCTAAGCAAATTTGCCAAAACACCGAGGAAGAAGTACAATCGTTTCGTGGCATTGGGTGAACCATCCTGGGGTGCAGAATACCCGAAGTGGACAAACCTGGGTGTCATTGCCATCTGCTACGCCATAATTGCGCCCCTCGTCCTGGGCTTTGCAGCTGTCGGTATTGGGATGATTTACGTTGCATTCCGCTACAACATGATGTACGTTCACGACACGCACATCGATACCAAGGGGGGTTTCTATGCGCGCGCTCTAGAACAACTCATGGTAGGAGTTTACCTTGGAGAACTTTGTCTGCTCGGTCTTTTTGGTATTGGTATCGGCGGCAGCATCACCTCTGTCGGGCCGACCGTCCTCCAACTGGTTCTGATTGTTGCAACGGTCATCTTCCATATCTTCATGAAGCGAAAGGTTAAGCAGTTGAACCTGCTCGAAGATTCCGAGCATTCCAGACAGCAGAGCAATGCCGAGGCTGGAAATTTGTCTACTGCCAAACGACCATCTCCCGGGTATAAGAAAGATGGAATTCGATCTGATAAATCTCTAGTTTCACGCTACAATAACGAGCAGCGAGCTATTGCTGGCTCTGAAGCTACTGGCATTGCACCCCCAGCTGACGCACCACCACAGCGATCGTCGCTAAAGAGAACATTCTCTCCACACACGCTATCTACTAGCGACATCTCTGCATCTCTTGCAACTCGATTTCGCCGTCCTGTCCCACCATATACGGAAAAAGAAGTCCTTGAGGCCTACCTGCATCCAGCCTTAGCTGAACGCCAAGACGTCATATGGCTCCCCAGGGATCGTCCCGGCGTCAGCAAGCACGAGGTTGCTGAGCTACAGGAGAAACTTGGCACGTTTGGAACTCGAGTCACAGACGAAGGCGCTATCATGAATGAGAAGGGCAAAGTAGAGTGGGATGTTGACAGCGTACGGGAGGCGCCGCTCTGGAAGCATCGGGTTGTTTATTAAGTCTGTTGTTTCCTTCATCACTATATGTTCGCGTATTCCAGCGACGATACTAGTCTAATGTCTTGTATCGTATTCATGTATTCCTTCCTGGACTTTGTAGTCTAGATACCAACCCCAATCTCCGCAAACAGATCATGACGCGACACGACAGTCTCCAGTACCAAGCGCACACGCGTGCGACCAGCCCCGCACATCATCTAGCTGAAAACAAAAGGAAGCCTTGATTGCGCGAAAAGGAGTTGAAATGGTGCATGTCATACATAGGCACTAGCCCCGGGACCTGCTCCGTTGTTGTTCAGTGGCGCATGTTAGTGCCACAACACCACGCTCTAGACTATGACGTCGCTTGACCATGAAAGTGGAAGCCACGCGATTGCCAACTTTCAGGTAGACAAGTAGGGTAGTCGGTGTTGGAATAAAAGGGCGTCGTGAGACGGGAGGAGCAAGACTTGAATTTTGTGTAAACACTTTTCTACTTCTGTCTTTAGCATAACAATCACAAACTTACGGCAAACGAATAATTATATTAGTATTGAAGTATCTTGAAAGCATTCTATATCATAAACATGCCTCGCAACGGAGATGGATCCAGCGACAATGGTCCTATTGAAGGCCATGAGATTCTTCACGGTACAACCGGAGATGTACGGTACCCTTTCCAACACACACGAGAACACTTTCCGCTACATCAGATCATCGAGCACAATCAAACACGAGAGCATACGTATATCTAACCCAACCACAGGACTCTCTCCAACACACTAAACACGTAGCACCCATGCCCGAGGGCGAAAAAGGAGACAGTACGTTCCCTACCCCATTCATCCATTCCAACAACGCAAAAGAACACACTCCAACGCATCCACGTATACCAGACTAACCCACCATCACCACAGCCCTCCCCGGTCTCTCAGGCGGCGGCACCGCAACCCAGACATCCACCTCGGACTCCAAAAAGCGCTCAGAACCCCACCACGACCCCCCCTCCCCAATCTCGCACATCCAGCAAAAACACTCCAAACTAGACATCGACGAAGCCGGCATCGCGGGCGCGACGTCACAAGCCGAGGCGGCGCACGCACGCGAGCAGCGGGTTAAAGACGCGGTGGGGACCGAGGATGTAGGGAGTGGAGCTGGAGGGCATGCGGATGTGGAGATGTTGCATGGAAAGGCTAGGTTGAATGAAGGTGAGCAGGGAGAGAAGAGTGAGGGAGGACAGAGTGGAGGAGCGTGTGATGCAGAGTTGCTTCAGAGGAAGAAGGCTGAGAAATTTGGGGGTGTGAATCTACATGATGATGAAGAGGCTGATGGTGGGAAGAATGGGACAAGTAGTACTACTAACGGGGGAAGTGTTAGGCACGAGGTGAGCGGTGCTGCTAACGGGGGAGGTGTTAGGCACGAGGAGAGTGGTGCTAATGGGGGTCCTGTGGGACATGTTGACCGTACCAAGCAGAAGGCTGAGGAGTCGTTTGGCACGCATGACAGCAGTGAGACGCAGGGCAAGAGCAAGGAGCATGGTCACGATGTCGCTCATGAGGCGGATCTGCTGCAGAGGAAGAAAGCTGAGAAGTTTGGGGGCGTGAACCTAGGCGATGATGAGGCTGATAGGTCTTCTGGGGGGAAGAGCAACGCCCATGGTAGCACTAATGAGGGCGGCGCTGTTGGACATGCGGATACCAAGGGTCACAACGGAGACCATGCGGGTGCTGAGACGCAAGTCAAGAACAAGGGTCATGGTCACGGTCACGATGTTGCCAATGATGCGGATCAGTTGCAAAGGAAGAAGGCCGAGAAATTTGGGGGTGTCAATCTAAGTGAAGATGGGGCTGATGCGTCTTCTGCTCTGAAGAACAGTACTCATGGTGGCACTGAGGGAGGCCCTGTAGGACATGCACATCGTACCAAGGGTCAGGACGGCGAGTCTGGTGCGCACAACGGAGGCCATGTGGACAGTGAGGCGCACAGCAAGGGCAATGGACATGCATCGGAAGGTAAGAAAAAGGACCACGGCCTTGATCTTGCCAACGATGCAGATTTGTTGCAAAGGAAGAAAGCGGAGAAGTTTGGAGGCGTTAATCTCGGCGATGATTAGGCATGTCGCTTGTCTTCTTTTCCCAAGGAATTTTGTTTATTCTACATAGTTGCCCGAATACTATGTACGTGTGCCTAGTCCCTCCGAACATTATTTTTTTCATATTAGTGATATATTTTGCTTGCTTTTCTCTGGCGTATGAGACCACACGTGGATGTTGTCAAAAAGCAAATGAAAGCGACAATCAAGGGTCCATCGCGATTGTCTGTGCATCGCTACCAGTTCACCGATCAGGACAACGGAGATGGTGCAAAAGTGGTTTTCTGGAGAACAAGCCATAGAGGTTTCACATTACGAGAAGCTTTTACGCAATATCTCTTTTCCTTATTCATTTTTTTCTTTATGGGAATTCGGATCGGGGAAAGAAGACTGGTGAGGCCAGTGACGCCAAGTTCCCGACCCCGCAAACATTCCCATCGTCTACTCTTCGTCTCCAGCACGACGCCTCTGAACAACCTCAGCAGATGTTTCTTTGTTTTTAATAATGAATACCAGAGATACTAGCGTTGTCACCGCGGCATCCAGCAATCACCTCGGGAAACAATTGCGTCGAGTTTGCATCCACGACCAGGTACTGGCAAATCTCGGCGGATCCGTCGAGCACGGCATCAACCTGATCCTCAGTGCAGGAGCCGAGATCCCAAGTGTAGCAGAACGTTAGCCTTTCGGATGTATACGCCTCAAACTGCACATTGGGATCCGGCCGTCCCGTACTCTTGTACGTGCTCTCGTCATCCGTGCCGGCAGTCGACTCGGTGCCGGTAGCAATATCAAGATTGAACAAGGCGCGCGTGAAGATCTTGAAAGCCGTCTCGGGTTGATAAGCAGGAATGGCGTGACCGGCTTGGTAGGTGCGGATGTAACTCAAGTTTCCGTATTGGCGGACGAGACCGCCAATGTATGAGTCGTTCGTCTGGATCTCGGCGTACTGTGCAGATGCATATCCGGCAGACCCTGTCCAGTTGATTGCTTTGGCCACAGCATCGCCACCGCCCCACTGATATATCTTTTTGTTAGCAAGGAGACTGCATGGGTAGAGGTTGCGTTGGGCGATTGATACTTACGGGGCAGGCGAAGTCGAGATCTCCATACACTAGTGATACTTTGATCCCGTTGTCGAGAAGGAAACCGAGATCTTCAACCCATCCGTCACGCGGGTAGTCACCAATAGCACGGTAGGCTGTTGAGGCCTGCGGGGAGCTACCCGTCCAGTTGAGAGGCACACCGAGCTCCGCCTGGACCCACTCGCGGTTCAGATAGCCCTCATGGAATGGCGGTGGGAAGGGCGGAGGTGACGGCGTGGAAATATCGTAGTAGTCACGACCAGCGAAGTTGTTGTAGGGAGTGACGATATTGTTGCGGCAAAAGGTCTCTGCACCCTCGCAAATGCGATTGACACCAGCATCGATGCCAAGGTTTTCTGGATCAGACACAGCAGCGGCATCGCGGCAATTTTGAATCCTTTCTAGACACTCTGGAACAGCGGCTACCATACCATTGTAAATTGTCTCGTTGACGGCTTCGAATCCATACCCGTTTCCTTTGTAAGCTTGTTGAGGGTAGTAGGGAAACTGAATGTAGCGGTCGATGCAGCCGGAAATAAGGAGTAGGGTATCCAAGTGCATAACGTAGCCTTCCTTGAGAGTGCCATTCTCAATCCTCTGGTTTTGCTCCTCCCAGAAGGACATCATAGCGGGTCCATAGCGTCCGCCGTATGACTGAGCTGCGAGACTAATGCGAGTGTCATTGGGCACAATGTGAGGAAACTCTTGGAACCAAGCCTGGGCAAACTCCCACGCTGCTACAGCGCCATTGACGCTACCGAAAAATGTGGTGTTGGGGTTGCGGCTAGGATAGGTGCCTGTGAGAAAAGTAGTGTTTTGTTCAGGGAGAGGCGTGGTGTCATTCAGCACTGTGACCTGTCCCGTAGCAAGGTTCCTGGTCACATTTGCCAGAGTATCGTATGAACTGGAAACAATCGTCAGCTAACGTGCCACTAACCTGTTGGATTTAAGAGAACTCACAAGCCAACCTGCACGGGTTGGTCGAGATAGAGCATGTTCGATGCTCTGTTCCAGCTCCATTCAGCTGGTCTCGTTGAGTTTGAGTCTGGGTTTGCGTAGCACGGCCCATTTTCCTCGAGTAATCCATACATGGAAGACGAACCCGGCCCACCGTTCAACCAGATTGTAAGTGGTGCATTAGCCGGATCGTCACGGGCTTCAAAAAACCAAAAGAACTAGAGCAGAACTTAGGACCTCAACAAATGAGCCATAGCGACATGCTGCTTACGGTATTGATAGGATAATCCTGTCCCTGACCCAAGTCAGCGGTTCCGGGGGGTAGGTAGACATAACCGGAATATGATTTGACGTCTGGTGTAGTCTCACAAAGCTTGTTCTATACATTGCTATTAGATGATCTGTCTGTAATACAAAATGGCCTTTTTCCAATGGCTTCCAACCTCTTTGTAAGTAATCTTCACACCATCTCCGAAGCGCGACTCGAGCACCTTGAGGCCTGCAGGCTCAGATGGAACTTGAGCGAGAGAAGGCGCGGCCAGTGCCAACAGCGCAATGGCTGTGGAGCGAGCGGATGGAAACATGTCGCAGCGAATGTTCCTACAGGACAAAGTACCAGGCATGGGCGGTGTAGTATTTATTTACTACGTAGTACGTGGGGGCATGTTAGCCGCCAATTCCTCCAAGCATGGATTAATCGTCGCCAGTCCCATCCTTGCCGTGATAAACAGGCAATATCGTCAACGGTATACTTGGCTGCATCTCGGAGCAGAGTCAATTTGGTGGAATGCTCAAGTTGGATCGGCTGTATCCGGAAGGTCGAAGAAGAGGTTGCCAAGTACCAAGTCTTGCTGGGAGCGGGGTGGCCTTCTTACACGCGTTAGCGCGAACCTTGCATTGCCAGCTTCCGCAAACGATAACAGCTATGCGATGAGTGGATTACACAGTACGTGCTACTAGCTTAGGTCTGGTTGGGATACGGAAGAATGCAGATAACACCTCGGTGCCTGAGACTAGAAAATTGCTCTCGCCCAAGATGTAGGAGGCAGCACTAGCGATGAACGGCCCGTGGAGCGTGCAGGTGGACTAAAGCCGGTTTGACACCAACACCACTGCTCCGGGCGCATGGTGAGTTTGATCCAACATCATTCAATTATGAGAAACCTTTTGGAGGCTAGGCCAGGGTGGTTTACTTTGCAGCCTGTTCGTCCATATGTTGTATATGAGATGGGAGCACCACGGAGTCGATGTCCGAATAAATCGCTCGCAATTTCGACCGAAGATGAAATGCTCCAAAGCACTTTTTGTGCAGAATAAGACCGCCTTGATGTTTGAACGTGTCGGCCGTAGCTTTGGCCGGGTCGCAATTGGTTCGCTTTACATGGGCTGCCATCTCTGCATAGTCGTGCGATTCGAACGTAAGAATCTCAGCAGCATTTGCATGATCGTACAGTTGCTGAATACTCAAAGTAGTCCCGGAAGCCGCGCGTCGTACTGGGTAGAGATTGCTTTCTAGGAGGAAGGAGATGAATGAACCCAAAACCATGGCGCGACACTTTTGCTCACATGATTCGTCGACTTGACACACATAGACGTGTGTGATGTCGTCTAAGATATCGTAGAGAACATCAAGCATGGCTGTAAGAGTGGCTTCTCGGATTTCCATAATCCGTTCTTTGAGAGTGTCAGTAAAGCATGAAGGCGTTTTTAATAAACAAGGGCAAGGCAGCTTACCAAGTAGTGCTGGTGGCATATGAAGCGGAAAGGCCTGGCCATTGTCCATCATTGCATTCCCACGTTGATCTAAGCCAGTCCTTTTTACCACAAACTTGGCAAGGTTTTGGAAACTGTCCTTGTAGCCAAAGGTCCATGCCACAAAGAACCAGGCCGGATGACAGCGTTCCCCTGAAGTGGTATCAGGGTAGTGGCACTGAGCCCATCCGTAGAGATCCAAGAAGGGTCGAACCAGCTTGACAAGGTCGTATCTGTCGCACACGACTGAAAGTTGGAGAAGGGCATCGATGGTGAGTCCATTCTTCTTGGGCAATTCGTGGAAGCGGAGATGAGCTATTCGGAGGGCAATGTGCATTGCATCTAGCTCATCGTCGGGTAATGGGATAGCAGCGGTTCCGTTCTCATTCCAGTGCCGCTCGAATATCTTCTTCCACACCGGACTGGCTAGGATCATGGCTGTCCTAGATACCTGGACGGGCTGGTGGCCCGACGAATCGGTGCCCAAGACCAAGATGGAGTCACCGCTGTCATCAAAAACAATAGTGGGCTGCAATTCCGAGGCATCAATGTGCCGAACCTCCGAAGGCGCAACTTCGTCATCAGAAGCTTCGTCGGGGCTGCCAAGTAGTGGTGGTGGTGATGATGCGCTCTCAGGGGCAGAGCGGCCCCGAAGAAGAAAGCTGGAGCCCCAGAGCATTCAGCCAGTCTCGGTTGCCTGTCGTGGAGGGAGATGGCAGCAGGGTCAGAGTCTCCCGGGGCGCGTACGGTGACGTACTCGCTTGTACGGCTCAAGATGCAGTGTTATTGTTGCACGTTGTTGCACATGTTTTCATTGAGTGAACGCGCAGGGACACACGGCCCGTGCTTCAGAGCCAGTGTGTTGATTCAGCCGCGCGTCAAAAAGAACAGGCCAACAACATAGTCATTTCCATCCGCGCTCCCTTTCGCCGCCGCTGAGGTCTCTGTGCAGTGCCACCGCAGACAGGGGCGACGAAGATCCCAAGGGCTTGCATATACACACCCATTTGCCTGGGGGGACGTACATACACACGACTTACAGCTTTGCCGACTCTTAGCCGACCCCACGTAGGACGTCTTGCCACAGCAACCCTCAACCACCAGATGCAAGCCGACGGGAGCAGAACCGACACGGAGAGTACGATAAATGTACTACGTAGGTACTCCAGCCAGCCTCCACAGCAGTGTCCCAATGGAGACTACGCGCTTGGGCCACGGAGCCGTCAG